AATACAATCAATCAAACTGGAAGATTTATACACTTTCAATAGGAAATAGTATAAACCATCCATGTCTTTTTTGGTCTTTCGACTAATTGATTACGTTTCAAGTTTTTCATATTGTTTTTCATAAAATTTTCAAATTTTTGCGAGGAGAGATAGAAAATAAATATTTAAAATTCAAAAAAGTATTTCTTTTTTTACCTGCTTTTTGAAAAGTTTCAAGTAACATTCGGTGAAAAAAAGTAAATATAATATAAAGTATATATGTAGAGCAGGGCGAGGCACAAAGGTCCAATTTGACTTTGAGCAAATGTAAACTATATTGTGAAAACCATAACAATTATATCACAGCAAATAACACATATCAAACGAACAATTATCTGAGTTCAATAAACTGCCTTCTACTTCATCATTGTAGAAATGTGCTTTTTTGCCGTCTTTCAAAAATTTGTTATCTAGACCTTTTTACCCTGTAGGCGGGGTAACTTGAAACGGGCAGGTGGCAAAAAGATTTAAAATCTTATTATAGTTTTAAAGGTATTTTACAAAATAATTACATTTTTAACTGATGCTTAAAAACTACCAACGGAAGAAAATACTTTTATTATGGATTCTCAAATATTACCGTTTATCTTCCCCATTTCAAAGATTACCGTTTTCAAATCAAGCTGGTAGCTGGCTATACATCTTTTCTCCTCTACTTTCAAATATTGTTGTTAAACAATGCTTAACTTTACTGATTTTTGACAAATCGGTGGTTGGCCTTTTTAACCCCGGACCTTCATATATTACTATCTATTCTGCGATAAATTCTGGGAAATTATAACTGGAAAAATGTTATTCGACAAAAGGTCCATTTGATCGATACCAAATTTAGGTTCTGAATTTAAATAACATAAATAAAAAATAATATAACCTAGAAAATGTTTTATAAATACCAATGAGCATATAATTATACAAATAAGATCTTTCAGAGCACCGTGTTTGAGAAAAATATGCCAAAAATGCATTTTCATATTAACATATCAAAACAGTTTATATTTTGAGTCTCTAGTAACACTTGGGGCGCGTTTACTAACGTTTTTGTATATAAATAAAACTACAAACAAAACTACTTACTACAAATTTATCACAAAAAAATAATATTCGCGTAAAACATCCTATTAAACGTAATTGAACATCATCTGACAAAAGCGTTTGACATTTCACGAAATTGCCACCGTCCATTGTTCTATTTAAATTACGCTTCTACAAAAAAATTTCAAATTAAAAATGTAAAGTTTCTACGCGGATTTGAAATAATTTCTTACCTTTTGGACATTCTCTGGATTGGCACGAATTTTTCAAGACTAAGACTGGCCAAATCGATTCAGCCGTTTTCGAGTTTTATTCGGACATTTGAAAGGGAGCTCCATTTTTATATATAAGATATATATATATATATATATATATATATATATATATATATCCATCAAATACCTTCGTGTAGTACCCATGTTAAAATCGGAATATTAAATCCGCAATGATCTACACACATCCCGTACCCGTGTAGATTCCGGACCTTCCCCGGAGCCAATGTAAACGTTTTGCGGGTAAGGCGAGATAGCCGGCTTTTAGACGGAGTCTTAGGACTTGTCTAAGGGTCTTATTGGGCGATTAGTGACGGCTATTTGCCGCCGATCGAGCTCGCTAATTCGGTTTTTGTGCTGAGCTCGAGATAAACTTAACGAAACGAATGAAATCAATAGAGAAATCAATTATATTGCCGATATAATGCTACTAATAAATTATTACAGATACCCCTTTATTCATTAGTGCATTTATCAATTATTGAGGTTGGCTACCCTTATGATTTCTTTTAGTTTTTTTTACTTATGTTATTTTATTTTTCATAAATTGTACCTACATAAAAGTCACATACAGTCCTTCATAAAACTAATAAAAACCTACAACTATTTATGGCTATTTTTGTGTTCGTTTTCTTGGAAAATTCACCAAAATAAAACACTCGATTCTTTGCAATTAATACCAAATTAGTTGTTCATCAAAAAATCGACAATCCATTGTCAGTCCCTTGAAAGCCACGTACATTTAATGAGCGTAAGATGCTTATCTGTTCCAAACGAAAAGCATACGTATAGAAAACGACGAATGATTTCTCCATTGTTATTTACTTCCTTTATTTAGGGGATGGTAGAGTCTCTTGTGGACTTCTTCTCTTCGGGGGCAGCCAAGAACGATTCTTGTCTCGGAAAGCCATTACCACTAACGAGATTAGGTGTATAATAGGTTGTATTGTTGTGCAAATTGATTAAAATTTATTAGACGAAAACATGCACCGAAATAGAATACTACTTTTGGTTTGCTTTCGGGTGGCGTGTTAATGGGGGTGTGATATATGCTTTTACAGATACTATATGTTGGGCACACGTGATTATTTAGACACAAGGGTTATATATATATATATATATATATATATATATATAACCCTTGTGTCTAATCTAAAGAAGGGTGGTCCTTAATATGGACATTTTTGCCACCCAGGGGCTTAAATGGTTCTAAATTCGTATGTAAATAGTTCTTGAAGTAAATCTCACTCTTTTTCGAAAAGTAAAAAAATAAGAACTAAAATCTATTGAAGAACACATTTTCTAAATGGAAGCGGGTTGAAAAAATATTAATGAAATGGCTATTACGAAATAGAGATATGTGGTAGGAGGGTGAACATAAAACTTCTGTGGATATTGTATGATATAAAAAAATAATGAAGATTTAAAATAGTGAAAGATAATTTAAGTTGTTTATGTTAGAACTGCTGAACATTTTGTAGAAATGACAAAAGATATCTAAATATCTAAATCGCCTGACTGGACAGCAAATACATAGCATTTTTACAGAGTGTATTTTGTCAGAGAATTGGCACTATAATTTAATAAGATTTTTATTATGTAGAAATTATAGTTATATTCCAAGTGATTGTATAAAAATTCACAATTCCGAAAAATATATGTACAACTGAAATTTAGACAGATAAGTATAACGCTAATTAAGCCAATTTTCTGATTTTGCTGAATAAATAAAATAAGTGCCATTATTTTTGGATAACAAATATATAAATTTTAAACCGTAAATGTAATAAAATATTCCAATAAACAATATTAATATAATTTAAATTTATATAATTGCAATCATAAAAAAGTTAAATTGAGTTCTAACACAATTCAATTCAACAAATTTGTTTTGCTAGTTGTTGCACATGTGTATACAAACCAACAAAATTTATTTGCACGTTCTGAAACATTCATTGGTTCTGATGAATTTTATGTAAATCTGGACGCATGAATAATTTAAATCCATGAATATGTATATATATATATATATATATATATATCAATCAATATCTCCCTTTCGCTTTTTTGCTCTTGGTTTATAATACAAGTTGGCGGAAGGGAGATATTTGACAACCTATATATATATATATATATATATATATATATATATATATATATATATATTCTAGAAGACCCGACAGACGTTGTCTTGTATCCACGTCTACAATTTAAGTTCCAATTTTTTTAATATTATTTCCTATACTTAACAATTTTCTATTTGATGTACTGCCTTTGTGATTCATTTATGGTCTAAGCATAAGCAGTATAAAAAAATCAGAAACAAATAATATAGAATCTGCAGTAAAAAAAAAACAATATCATACTTGATTTTAACATAATTGCTTCAATAATTTAGACTATAATTTTTATTAATTTCGAAAGTACATTTATCTTACTAATAATTTAATAAACATTATTGTTCATGTTCAAATCTTAGGTGAATTTATTTGTAAAGTGTAGTTTGTCTGAGCACTCATCAATCTAAGTTCAACTTGCTAAATATTATATATCCAATGCCGAACAAATAAATTTTTGACACTCAATAATCAGAAATATTTTTTGTGTTGTTAAATAATTTAGTGAAATGAACCAAAATGCGAGGTGCATAAGATTAATAGAATAATGTATACGCAGTTTTGGACATATTGCGATATTTATTAAACTGAATTATATAATTCCATCTGCCAAACATATACTGTTAGCTACATCTTATCTTATTTTAATTTTTAGCACATCTCAGCTGCTTTTCGCCAATATAAATGTGGACTTTTTCTTGAATATTATATTCTAATATTATCTAGGCTCATAATTTTAGCTAAATTCAAATTTTAAATGAATTGACATTTCTAGCAGATAAGTTCAAATGTTTTCAATATCAAACAATGATGACTGGTTTTTTGTATTTTTTACCATTTATTTCTACAATGTTACGATAGTTTTATCGTTCATTAAATCTTAAAAATTTCCTTTGACAAACTCTAAAAATATATATTAAAATCCGAATAAGCGATTAGGAGAGGTATCAAATCATACACCCGTACAGAAAAATTTCATATATATATATATACAAACTAATCAATATGTCGAGCTAATACATGAATTTTAGTTACTCCTTACCAAGTACGTCTGCCAACTCGGAATTTTATCCTAGTTATATATTTATGTGCAAATAACGAGTTTATAAGTTCAACATTTTCGGACGTTCTGCTGAAATCACTATATTACTGTTTTCCGAAAGTTTTCCTTAACTTTCCACGAGCGAGCTGAAACGTTCCCAGAACATCACCCGACCGATATTTGTGTTTGTTATTAATTTAACTGTGCGGTATGATCGCTTAATCTTATTTATGTTTGAATTGTTTAGAGTTGCGAGAATAATATTTGTTTTAGGTATTGTTAAAGCTGTGTAATATATTAATTTAATTTCTGCTGAATATATCATAACAAACGTTATAACCCCTTATACAATTTGATACAGAATCATAATTGTAATACTGTTACAATCTCAGGTGTTTTCTTTCTCTATGATCTTCAAATTTGTTTGCTTTCTTTGAAAGTGTATACTCGATGGAATCAGAATATTTAAAGTTTTCAATTTCAAAGTATTATCCTTACCTGAAGTAGACCGTACTTGAGTTCCATATCCAAAAAGTGATATTCCCTAGCATGTGGAGCCCGAGGTATGGTGCCCCCTTGTTGAACTGGAGATTGTTGAGAGGCTCCGGTACTAGGAGGTCCAGGGGCGGAACATCCACCACCTTCCTAAAAAAAATTCAAAATACACACACATATATTATATATATATAATACTAAACTACTTGAAATTATAACAATACAAAGTAGTGAAAATGTGTAGAACCCCTTAGATAAACGCTTGGCTTGCTTTTTGTACCACATTATAATCGTGGATTAGTTATTGTTATAATATATATATATTTTCACGATTAAAATTTTCATATTCCTTCATTTAATTAGTGTTGAAAATTTTAATAAACTCATAATTTTCATAATAAGACGTTTAGTCTTTGAAAATATTACCAGAATGAAGAATCTTGAGGTTATTCTTAATAATTACTGTATTTTTTTATCTATTATTCTGAACTGTTCTCTATATTTATTCTATTAGCTGAATCTAATAATATCAGTAATTGTTAGAATAAGAGCTGAATACGTCATTCGAACAATCCAAAATTATTTTACTTTTGTGTACTATTTTTGATAATCAACATATTTTTTTTCTTTATTTATTTATTAAAATAGCAATCAAGATACAATTTAAATTTATAAGCTATTGTAACTCAAACGAGAGGAATCGCAAAAAAATTATAATAATAATAATAATAGAAGAAATAAAAAAAGAAATAATTATCTAAAATTCACTCTAATGTGTGAAGCCTAGTGTTTCATTTAAGGTATATTCAAAATTTAAAAAAAATTAAAACAAAAATGTTACGAAATATGGTCAATTTTAAATTATATTATTTAGGATCTATATAGATTACTTAATATGTAAATTAACACAAATAATGTCAATAATATCAAATTCAATTTAATTTAATGACTCTAGTAATATTTGCATCAACAATCTTGTAGGTTATAATTTATTCGTCAAACTTTGAGCTTGTTTGAGAACTGTTTTGAGAAAACTTTATTTCAATAGTAATCTAATAAAGTTCTTGATATCAGTAAATATTGAATAATACATGTCTTGGCCTTCAGTTCTCTGTGAATTTCGTATGTATATTTTTATTATATGAACTAATTATTTTTTAATTTAATTTAATTAATTTTAATTTTTAATTTTTAATTGTATATTCTGACAATGTAAGATCATAAAATCGCTTAAAAAATCCATTATTGGTTCAAATATAATACAAACAAATTTTGGCATGGTTAGTTCCAAAAATATTTAAAAGAATAAAAAACTGCAGATTGTGATATTGTCACTTTGTTGCTTATTTTTTATCTATTATTTTTGTACTTCTCTGTTTTATCATAAAATATTGGTTGATTTTTTATTGACAATAATGGATGATTATAATAAAACAGGTGTCAATTTTTTAAATTTTTTTTACACCAGAATTAAAAAGACGTAAAAAATTATGGGCTTGATCCTGTAAATTGTACCTAATACTAATTACCCACTAAGGTAATTACTATGCATAATTACATTTAATTGCTGCCAAATAAATAAATAAATAAATAAAATTCATAGAATGTAAATAATGTTCTGATTGTTATCAATAAAAGTTAAAATTAAAAAAAATCAAAATTATAGTATAATTGATGTAATTGTCGAATAACTCAATAAGGCATTAATGCATAATTGTTAAATAAGACATTTTTAATATATTTATTTCAATTACAATTATAATAATTTTTGCCCTTATCACCTGAACATACTTGCATATACTATTTGATATTTTATACTCAAATTTTATTGTATTTACGTGTATATGTGTTAGTACATTTATTGTAATTAAAAGTACGTACTCTATATTATTTTAACCGACGATTTGTCTAACATTGTTTTAAAGCAGTTTTCGAGGAAACTTGATCAACATGATTTAAAGCATTATAACTACAATAAAACTTCACTAAATCAATTATTTTTGTTAGAAATTTTATAATAGTAGTAAAACATTTGGAATTTTCTGAAGCATGTAAAGGATCAGCTTCATATAACCGCGTAACGTTAAGTGTTAACGAGCTTTCAGTACCTAAAGTTCATTTTTATATAAAGACTTCCTCACAAGTAGGTCATCATGCGATTACAGCAATAATTAATATTATCAATCGATTATCATTTTTACCTGGTAGGCCAGTATATTAGCAAGGCTTGCGTACACGGGTTCTGTGGCAAAAGCAAGGGTGTCTGCGCATTCCTCGACCGTGTGGAGCACCTGAAGCATTTTTGGGTGGCGAAAGCGCTCGAGCTTTCGCACGGACCCTCGAAGCACCTCCGACACGGTCTCTTTGCGTTTTGGCTTGTGCAGCTTTTCCGCACAACGTTTTTCGAACACAAACACTGAACATTCCTGAAAATAAAAGATCGATAAAAATTACAAGGTACGTAGGAAAAAGCTCACGCACACAGAATTAGGCATAGTAATGTATAGTTTTAATCGGCAATAAATAAAGATGCATCTGGCATACAGTATTTAAACCATTAGAGTCCCACCATGAGCCAAATTTTTGTTTTGAACCAAAAAACTTGGAAAAATAAAAAATCAGTAATTATGATTCTATGCATGAAATAAAGTAAAATCAGTTCAAACAGTTTTATTGTATTATATGTTTTTCAAATCGGCCTACTTTTCAAGCGGCCTACTGTTTACGCATTACTGTTTTGTTAACACCTGAAAATGTTGTTTCAGGCTGAACGGCCTAAAAATATTAGGTTGTCAAATATCTCCCTTCCGCTTTTTTGCTCTTGGTTTATAATACAAAAAGGCGGAAGGGAGATATTTGACAACCTTATATTGATATTGGTTGTTTTTACAATTTTTAAGAATTATGATTTATGCATTGTCTTTCAAAAAAAGCAGTATATATTTTTTGAAAAATCGATAAATTGTATAGTGATCTTGAAGTTATACTGGCACATAAAAAGCTAACTTAACCCTCCGCTGCCACCAAATATAAAGAAAATTAAAGATATTAAACCATATCTGTTTGGTAAACAAATGATAAAGTTATACTAGATCTTAAAGAGCTAACTAATCTTTTCGTTTACCAAATATTTGGGAAATTGATAATCTCAAAAAAATACATGAATAGTGATATGGAAGTTATACTGGCACATAAAGAGCTAACCATTCCTTCCGCTGCCACCAAATATTAAGGGTGATTCATAATCTAAAAAAATCGATATATTTTTGGTAAAAAATCGATGAAGTGGATAGTTATCTAAAAGTTACACTGGTCCATAAAGAGCTTACTAATCTCTCCACTGCCACCAAATGTTAGGGAGATTGATAATCTCAAAAAATACATATATTATTGGTAAAAAAACGATAAATTCGATAGTGATATGAAAGTTATACAGGCACATAAAGAGCTAACCATTCCCTCCGCTGCCACCAAATATTAAGGGTGATTCATAATCTGAAAAAATCCATATATTTTTAGTAAAAAATCGATGAAGTGGATAGTTATCTAAAAGTTACACTGGTCCATAAAGGGTTAACTAATTCCTTTGCTGCCACCAAACGTTAAGGAGATTAATAATCTCAAAAAAGCAATATATATAATTATTGAAAAATCGATAAATCAGGTAGTGGTCTTAAAGTAAAATCGGCTCATAAAGAGTGAACTGATCCCGCCGCTGCCACCATATGTTAGGGGGAATAATAGTCCAAAAACGTCTCATATATTTGGCGAAAAATCGATAAATTATATAGTGATTTGAAAGTTATACTAGCACATAAAGGTCTAACTGATCTCTCCGCTGCCACCAAATGTTAGAGAGATTGATACTCTGGTTCCACATTTTCGTCACAGTAAACACAATTCATAAAATAATGTGTAATTACTTTCTATTACATAATAAAATATCAAAAAGCATTTTATTTTAAACGATGTTTGTAAGACCAATCAAAAGATTTTTCTAGAACCGCAAATCGTCAACCATGAATGTTATATACTTTTTTTTCCTAAAACATTTTGTGTATTATATACAAGTATGTAAGAAGCATAACATTTATTTATAAATTTATAATAATTTTGTTAATAAATTTATTAAAATTTATAAATTTTAATAAGTATATCATTTTAAAAATTCCGATAAAAATTGTCAATTTGTTATACGGTGATTTATATATTTTGCGGCTATTTATCTCATAATAGGAAATACAAAAATAACATGGTTAAAAATTCAACTTTTCTATCGTCCGACTTTAATCGGACCTACCTTCCGCCTACATCTCAAACATATTTTCAGAACCAACGCGCGCTCCAAGATCCATCTCTCTGAATTCGTTGCCTAAAAACTAACATTTACAAAAACATTTTCCGAGCATAGGTTTTCTCACATAAGAAGTGCACTTAATACTGTAATGCCGTGTAACAAAACCTACAGAATCATTTGAATACCGAGTAATCCACAAACGGTTGTTTTGTTCAAAGCCGCGTACGGAATAAGGTTAAAGAGTGCTCCAGATGTAAAAGGTATATTATGAATGTTACATGAGAATGAAATGCTTTGATACCACACCCGATTCCGTGGTTTTGTCTTGAATAATTTATGATAATGTACGGCGTTTTATATAAATAAATATTTTATGTTTCATTTCTGACAACTCAAAAAGTGAAATTTCTTGAAAAAATTTACAGAATCAAACCGGGTAATAAAAACTCACATCGGCGGTAAAAAAAAATACGAAAAAATGCATGTAATGAATCTCACGGTTATGATGAAATTGGTGCTTACGAAAAATTAGATTTTTGATTAATAGATCATAAGTGAAATTTGTTCTGAACAAAATTGCTGAAACTTTTCTTACCAAAAATTTAAATTTAAATTTTTTTTTGAAAACGTCGAAAATAAATTAGAGTTTTGAATTTTTTTTTTCAAAAATTATTTTTATTGAAGCTTATTCATCACTTTTTAAAAAAATTGAACTATTCTTTCAGAACAATCGCAAAATTTTAAATTATAATCCAAATTCAACGTATTAAAAATATAAGGTACTTTGATTATAGTATTAAGCCTTTAGGAAATTAGTTCATCAATACTGATCTGTTTACATTTAATTATTTATATTAAATTTAATGTACGCATTGGAAACAACGTATTTCATAATTATAAACTACACATCATTAATTTCAAACATGATTTTGTCGAATTAAATAAATTAAAATATTTCCAATTATCTGCATTAAAACAACTGCAACAATTATTCAAACGCGTCTGCAGAAGTTAGTTAAATTCATCTATATATCTACCTTTGTTAATTATCTATTTTTAAATTTAAACTTTTTCAAGTCATTTTAATTTGAGAACCAAATAAATCCACCTACATACACACACACAAAAGTTTTATTCCGACCGCGGAAAAATTGCACGTCGCCAATAAATTCATATCTCCCATCTTTATGGAAATTTATTTGAAAACTTCTCTAAAAGTTATTATTCCTTCAGACGTGGTGATAATAATCAACAGAGAAGCAGAATCATCCTTTGAAGAGAAAGAGTTCTGCATAAAGGTATATCTTTATATAAAATCTTTATGAAATGTTGATTTTATCACCGAAAATAAACTCGGAGAATAATATAAAGCTCATATAGAACTAAATTTGCTTCGGGAGAAAATCTCATAATCGGTTAAAAGGGAACGAAACAATGTATTTAAAATGAGAGTATACTAAATGACTTACATTGTAATTTAAAAATTTATTTAAATATTCAACTTGGCTTTTGTTTATACTCACGATTATTATATATAGCATATATAACATTATCACATATATTATATTAAAGCAATAAGCACAGATAGCTCGAATAAGTAATTTAAAACATATACGTTTGGAAATCGACCTGATTAGATTTTGGTAAAGATCGGTCGGGCCGTTTTCTTGTAATAAAGATTTTGAACATTTTTTTTGACTGTTTTCATATTTTTTTTTGTTGATATATATCATGGTCTTCTAGATCATACTAAAATATTACGGACCTACAAGGCGTTTAATTTTGAAAATTCGTCAAAATTTGCAAAAATTAGTATGGCTTTTTTGGTATTTGTCAAAATTAAAACTTTCATCGAAGTTTGCTCAAAAACGCCTGAACTCCTTCCCCGTCGGTGGTACGTGGTGATATTCAAAATTACCCTTCATTTTCCCTCCAAACATTATGTGTATTTTTAGTTACGACAAAATATTGTAAAACTTTTAATTTTTTTTTTTTGAAAATGTTTGGATTAAAAAAAAAAATTGGTAAAAATAAATGCACTTGAATCTTACTATACATCTCCCTCTCCATCGTCATATTTTGTAATTTTTTGTCAAACCCCCCTCCATGTAAAAACATCGTGTGATCAATGGGCGCCCCCTAAAAAGCACGTCTCCTTATCAAATATATAGGAATCAAATATTTTTCGAATTATTCAAATCGGTTGATCCGTGTTCTCGTAATAGTTGACAAAAACTTGTTTCGGTGCACTAACTGCCTTCCTAAATATTACCTTATAAAATAAATTTTGTATTATGATTGACATGATATTTTTCTATTGGAACTAATAAAACTTTGATGTCCAAAAATGCGCCCAAATTTTTATTAATATTTTTCCACCGGTATGAACTTCTATCAACATTTTTTACAGCGTGAATTATTAAAGCAGAATTAAATAAAAATTCCACAAAATATACGAAAAATAATATTTTATTATTAAATATTCAAATTTAATTCAGAGGCTCCTTCGCACCGCACACTAATTAAATTTATGCCTCGCAAAAGCGGACGGTACACGACCTGCCTTTGTTTGGAGGAATTATTAGTACAAAGACAAATAATTAAATTAATGAGCTTTTTCATATACAAGAAGAGTCGAGACTGTATGCTAATTAATACAGGTAACAAATACTAAAATTGATAAATTTACATTGACGCGGATAATGGTAAATGATACTTGATTGTACCGGGAAAGAATTAGATCTCTCTGAACTTTTTTATGTTAAATTTATGCAGATACTTAAACAGCTTTTGGTGGATTTTTTTTTTCAAATGAAAAAATATGATAGCAATGAATTTATTTAATTTTAATTTATAATTATTTATATTTCGATTAATTTTTGTCAGTGATAGTAATCGCAAAAAAAATCAAATATTTTATTTTGCATATCTTTACGTTCTAAGATACTCTGAACGTTGTGGCATACCTTAGATAAAAATGGGTGTGTGTGTGCGGATACAAATTTTCGTCGACGATTTCGGGAACACGGATCAACCGATTTGAATAATTTAAAAAATATTTGATTTGTGTAAATAAGAAGACGTGCTGATTAGTTTTTGACAAAGGATGGTCTAGCCGTTTCGAAGAAA